GGCTGGGAGTTTCGCCTAAGCGCAGTGGCGGTGTAACCGCCTGAAGGGCGGTATTGGAGCAAAATGCGGGCGGAGGCACTAGAGTGCGTCTGTGCGACGAACTGTAGGCTTCCTTATCCGAGAAGCCTAAGGGCCTAAGGGCGAGAGGCCTAAGGGTGGCAGGCCGAACAATGTACTAAGGGCGGCAGGCCATTGAACGATTACGAACACTGGGGCATCGACACTTCGAGAAGTGACACGAGGAGTCGCGTGAAAGCAGCCGCTTCAACGCGGATCAGCAGCAGCTTCTGTTGGCGCTGATGGAAGAACAATGACGCAACTCGTTATAATGCAATCATTTTTAAGAATGTTTGAGAATGTTAAACTCCATCCTATGCACTCTAATCAAATCAGCTCGCAATGTGTTTTCCACATTAGCGAATATGACCTACTTTTGTTCAAAATAATACTTCGTACCATTCAGGCTATTTTTATTTTTTTTTATTTGAACTTTACTTTGCATAAAGTTCAATTTATTCCCTCACCACAACACCTCCCAGAATATTTATTTAAGATATAATTTGACGATTTTGCTTTTCCTCTGGTGTACGTGGTTTCACTGGTACTTGACTACGAATCGTTATATGAAGAAAACATCACTAGTGTACACTGACTAAATATGTTTGCTAATTTGCCGAATCAGCCGCTCATTTTAGGGACAATCGTTTTTCCTCACAAGCCCCCCATATCTGTCAACTCAACCCCATAACTTTCCTGGCTGGGGATTGCCGAAGCGAACCCAAGCGAGCCCTCGCATTGGTCGAGCTGGCACATTATCTGCTCGCCGATTTCTCCCATTCGACGCAGAGGCTAGCGATGGATCTTCTGGGCTGCCCCCGTGTGACATTTCGCCGCGACGCGCCACGCCCTCCCTGATCCTCTCTGCTCCCCTCTGCTGCTCCCCCGTCCCCCACCCCCCTCCCTCCATCTGAACTGAATTACTATCCCTCCTTGCAACCCCCAAACTTGGAGTCGTTGACGAACCCGACCCAACTTTCAGTGTACCCCAGCTTCCCCTGCTGTACACTGCATCAGAAGCCATGGCTGCCGTCACCGCCTCCCACACCGTTGCGGCTGTTGCCAGCTCCGTCGTGAGCAAGTCGGCCTTCTCCGGCCGTCAGGTTCGCTCCGTCAAGGTCGCCGCCGCTCCCGTGAAGGCTTCCTTCTCCGTCAGGGCCGGCGAGAGGCCGCTGTACTTCCCCGGCAGCACCCCCCCTGCCTACCTTGATGGCACCCTCCCCGCTGACTTTGGCTTCGATCCCCTTGGCCTTGCCTCCTCCAACCTGGACTGGTACGTCCAGGCTGAGGTGTTCCACTGCCGCTGGGCCATGCTCGGCGCCGCCGGTGTGATGATCCCTGACGCTCTCCGCGTTGCCGGCCTCCTCGACATCCCCCGCTGGGACGCCGCTAACGTCGCCGAGTACTGGCTCGACACCCCCACCCTGTGGGCCATTGAGATCATCCTCGTCGGCTGGGTTGAGGGCAGGAGATGGGCTGACATCAACAACCCCGGCTCCGTGAAGTGAGTGATGTTTTCCATTTTCACAGCCATTTATTAGTCTTTGTCTCCGAGACTGGATCTCACGTGAAATTCCTTTTCTGATTACAGCGAGGACCCCATCTTCAAGGGCAATGCCGTCAAGGGTACCGATGTCGGCTACCCCGGCTTCGATCCCCTCGGCATGGGCTTCGGCGAGCCCGCGAAGGTCAAGGACGTGCGTCTCCGGGAGATCAAGAACGGCCGATTGGCCATGCTTGCTAACCTCGGCTTCTGGGTCCAGTGCGCGTACACCGACAAGAGCCCCATTGAGAACCTTCTGGACCACCTCTCCGACCCCTTCCACAACAACGTCGTCGAGGTAATTCGTTGTTCCTTTCTGCATTGCAGGAGCTTCCCGCAGTTGATGTATTTTATCTACCATTTCTCGTTATTCGTCTAACATCCACTCTTTTCTCTTTTGGTTACCTTTGCAGTCCATTGCCGCCATCCCCGGTGTCTTCCCCGCTCCCTTTTAAATGGGCGTGAAGTTGGTTCCTGTTTTGCCCTGGATGTAAAGCAGTGTTCATAAGATTCAAAACTAAAAAAATATGATTATACTCGAACTAGTCTATCGCTTGCACAACCACTTGCACGACCACCTGCCATTGGGATTAATCGTACCGTATTCGTTCAGGCACAGCTGCCATTGAAAGGACACAATTATCCCTAGCAGAGAATCAACTCGCAAGTAAGGACATGGAAGGATGGTACCCGTGGTAGTATGTCTTCCTGTATGTTGTGTGCGGTCTTCTTCATTTCATCACGGGGTGAGGCAGTAAATGACGGAAACCACTCGCTATAGAGTGTAACGTTCCTAATCTAGTACGTAATGTGCGACCTCCGCTCGATCATTAATGCCAACCAAGTCCCGTCCCAATGCAAATGATCACTCTGAAATTACAAACGTTCTCATGTTCATCTGTAGCAACCATTTGAACTATTCACAGCATGATACCCTATAAAACTGTCACTGTAATGAGACTATGCAACAGCAGTTGCAGTCCTGATGGCAAACTTCTCAAGGTACTCCTTCCTGCATAATAGGCACTTGATGTGAGAGGGTGAGACAAGGCAGAAGATTCCACACAACCAGCATGACAATTGGCAGGGCACATACCTGGCTGCCATTTCATCAGCCGGACGGTTGTAAGGAGTCCACACAGGCTCGCCCACAAAGAGACGGAGAGCCTGAAAAGGAGACAGCCAGTCGCAGACCAATGAGAACTCTGCCTGCCACGTTTCGTGCAAGGCACATGACTAGAGTGCCCTTGCCTGCAAAGCTGCAAAACGAGCGGCGCACAAGCAAACTGCACACTGCAACCCCCTCTGCTTCACTGCATGCGCTACACACCTTGACGTAGTTGGTAGATGCCAGCTGGCAGCACGATGAGGCCGCCCTTTGAGTTAGTTTTAAGACGTCTCAGAACGCACATTGACGTAGTTGGTGGAGTCGAGGGTGAAGCGGTGGTAGATCATTTTTCCTAGACGTCTCAAAAGCAACACACTGCAACCCCCTGCTTCCCTTCCCTGTGTGCGCACCTTGACGTAGTTGGTGGAGTCGAGGGTGAAGCGGTGGTAGATGCCAGCTGGCAGCACGATGAGGTCGCCCTTCTTCGTGTGGATGCGGATCCAACGGTCCTCAAAGTCCCTCACATCAAAGTAGCCTGGGTGCGGGAGATGGGACATGGGAGGGCCAAGGAAACATGAGACAGGGTGAATACGGCTGAAGCACCACTGCTGTGGAATACATCATCACCCCCAGTTGCCATCTAGAATAATGAAGATGGAAGCAGCGCACTCACCGCTCCCACCCCAAGCAGCACTCACCGCTCCCACCCCAAGCAGCACTCGCTGCTCCCACCCCAGGCAGCACTCACCACTGCCATCAAGGATGTAGCGAATCTCCTCGTCTGTGTGGATGTGCTCCTCATAGAACGACTTGAGCTTTTGGTCTAGGGTATAGGGTAGTTGGACCTTCACCACCCGTTCATGCACTCACCACTGCCATCAAGGATGTAGCGAATCTCCTCGTCTGTGTGGATGTGCTCCTCATAGAACGACTTGAGCTTTTGGTCTAGGGTATAGGGTAGTTGGACCTTCACCACCCGTTCATGCACTCACCACTGCCATCAAGGATGTAGCGAATCTCCTCATCGGTGTGAATGTGCTCCTCGTAGAACGACTTGAGCTTCTGCTCGTAGTTGGGCAGTGTGTCCGGGTGGATGTTCACCACCTCCTGTGGGGAGATAGAGGGAGGAGAGGGGAGGGCAAAGAGCGGGTGAGGCGAATAGAAGCATGTCCGGATGGGTGTTCACCACCTCCTTTGCACAAATAGGAGGGGAGGAGGGGAGGAGGGGCGGAGGGGAGGAGGGGAGGAGGGGAGGAGGGGAGGAGGGGAGGAGGGGAGGAGGGGAGGAGGGGAGAGGGCAGGGAGCGGGTGAGGCGAATGGCAGCGTGTCTGGGTGGATGTTGACCAGCTCCTGTGGATGGTCTGCACAGAGTGAAGAGGGAGGGGGGAGAGGAAGTGGTGGAACAGTGTGGCTGTGCACCAGCTGAAACTGTAAGGTTACTACTGGGCGCATTAGGGCAGTGTGTCCCGATGCTGCAGGTTGTTTTTGAGAATTCTAAATAACAACCATTTGAAACTGTGTGGTTACAACAGGGGACACTTGGGAAGCATGTCCCGATGCATCTCCATTACCTCCTGTGCAAACTACCATGGTAACAGGGGCGAAGGGGGAACGGGGGGAAGGAGAGGAGGGAAGGAGAGGAGGGAAACGGGGAGTAGCACAGCTCACACCTCACATCGTACAAGTCTGTTGTCCTTGCGGATCTGCTTCAGCTCTGTTTGAGCTTGCTATGTCTTCTAGACCCGCTCACAAGCCACGCCCCCCAGCTCACGCGTCAGCCCCCCACGCCCCCCAGCTCACGCGTCAGCCCCCCACGCCCCAAGGCTAACATCCCACGTGCCCCGCGGCTCACCTCGTACGAGTAGTTGCGCTCCTTGCGAATCTGCTTCAGCTCTGTTCGAGCTTGAGCTCTGTTGACTTTTAATGGCCAGCCCAAACCCCACACGCCCCCTCCCCCCCCCCCCTCACCTCGTACGAGTAGTTGCGCTCCTTGCGGATCTGCTTCAGCTGGGGGTCGGAATCCCAGATGTCCGCGTCCAGCTTCCAGTACAGAATGCCCAGCTCTGCACGCAAGACGAGGGACACACGTGGAAGGGCAGGTGAGACGTGGGGGGTTGAGAGGAGCGGCAGGACGGGGTCGCTCTTCCAGATGTCCGCGTCCAGCTTCCAGTACAGGATGCCCAGCTCTGCCAAGGGACACACACGGGACACATGAGACAGGCGGGACACGGGAGAGGGGTGAGAGAAGAGTGAGAGGCGCGGCAGAGGGGGTCGCTCTTCCAGATGTCCGC